CACCAGTACAGTAGGTGGGCCCAGACCACCCAGCAGGGCTGGCAGGACCACACAGACCTGAGCGTCCCTCAGCATCCTCAGATGCTGTCCAGTGTGGCCAGGGTGAAGCTTGGCTCTGGGTGTTCTTGTGCCTGCTCTGCTGGCTACGGTTGGAGAGGCTCCCTAATTTCCCAGCAGCCCTGACCTTCTACAGTGGCCATCACCTTCAGGGAGGGACCGACCATGCTATGTCTCCTGTCCCCTTTCCCAAACCCAGATGGGTTTTCTGCTTTATTTAATTATCACCTAATTTCATCTTAATCACTGATTTTCACTCCTGATTACATGTTAGCATTTCTCAGAAGATTTTTTTAAAGTAAATGAAATATTTATTTAGGGAAATCTCACATTCAGTATGAAGAGCAAGAGTCACTCTTCCTTAACCATGACCACTGGGCTCCTGCCTGACTGCAGCTCCCCTGGATAGAGTTGTCCCTAGTGTGTCCCAGGACATGGGCTTCCCCTCCTGGAGCCCAGGCACAGGGCCACCTTCTTGGGAGGAGGAGGGAAGCAGCATTTCCACCCTGTGGTCACTGTGCCATGTGCAGGACTGAGGTCCAGTCCTGGCTCCACCATGAAGGTGACTCTCAGAACTTGACAGTTAGTCAGGTCCCACCTCGAGCCTCTCTGCAGCATGGACGTCCTGGTGTGGAACAGGGGCCCCACTGGCTGAGGCCTCTGTCCACTCACTGCCCTCCCAGGGCCTGTTGAGGCTGTGACCTTTGTGCAGCTGAGGCAGAGCAGAGCAGTGGTTAGAGTCTTCTCCACACTCACTGCTCTCTCAATGCCTGTGAGCTCCCGTCCTCTCCAGGTTGTGAAAAGGTGGTGGGGGTGGTGAAGGACTTCCCAGATATGAAGCATCTGGACGTTTCTCTCCTGTGGATTCTGCTGCTGGATGAAGGTCAGTGCTGGCTGAGGGACCTGAGCACATGCTGGACATGTTCCCATGTCCTTGGTCAATTGCAGATGCTAGTGTTGGGATCTCCACTGGGAGGGAGTCAACATCACCAGGGACACCTCCAAGGGCCAGGATTCTTTAGCACTCAACAGCATGACCCCTGAGGATATGGCTGCATATTTTAGGTGGGGGGACAGAGGGAGGGAACTAAGTGTGAGCCCAGTCACTCACCTGCTTGTAGGGTTCACTGAGGACCAGCAGGGGCACTGAGGACCAGCAGGGGAATCTCAGAATCAGCAGGACACATGGGGAGTTCACGACAAGGAGGGGGAGCTCAGGTCCAGCTGGAGGCTCAGGACCACCAGGGGGCTCCAGACCAGTAGAAACCTCAGGAGCAGCTGCCACCTCGGGGCCATCAAGGGGTGCTCTGGAACAGGAGAAGGTCAAGAAACATCCAGAGGAGTGTTTGTATTCAGAGGCTAATTTTACTAATAAGGTATTTCTTGTCTCTGGTTGGGGTTCTTCTTTGTTAAATGATATTATCAGGACATAATATTCTGTTTGTCTACTCTGAGTTCATGGTCTTGGGTGGTTTAATGTACGTCTGAATTTCAAGGGTAAGTTCTGAACCTGGATGACTATCCAATAAGGCTGAGGATTTCTAAATACCGTGTGACACCTTCTCCTTATTTGCTGTGCATCACAGGGACATGAAAAAGAAGGTGAGCTTGTCCTGCTCCTGACTTTGATAGCAAGTGTCACAGCTCTGGAGGCCACGTCACACCTCCTCAGCCCTGGAAGCCAGGTCAAGATCAAGTTCAAAGCTGTTGTGTTTTTGCAGTTGTTCATGGACATGAGCTGCCTGGGAAGGCAATTTCCCCCAGGGACCCATTCCCAGGAGGCTCCCTCCACCCACCCTCTTGTTCTTGTCTCATGCTGTGAACAAATGTTCTTTTTTTTTTTTTTAAAGAGAGAGGGAGAGAGAGGGAGAATTTTTTAATATTTATTTTTTAGTTTT